GCATGGAAAAAAATACAACTATCAGCTGCAATAAATTGTTAAGCAATTGAATATAGTTAAATAAGGGACAGTAAAGCTCACAAGTAATTTAGATCAGGAGACGATTATTTTTATGGCGCAGGTCCCCAGAAAACCGAGACAAAAATAAATAAGTTCGTGCCTTAAGTCTTTCGGTTTGCGAAATTCCCTCGGTTTCGTTTAACTGCAGCAGCAATTCCCCCTTCGAAGAGCGATGACAATAAAGCACAGCGCATCTTCAATAAATTTCATGCAGCTGCCGACAAGATAAAGCTGTAGAAATTATACAACAAAATCAATTGCAGTTCGGCAGCCTCTGTTTTCTGTTTTCTGTCTTCGTTGTTTTGTCTTATTTTTCGGTTTGTCTGCCTCTTTGAGGCTCTCGCCGTATGCCGACAACTGTCTTATATAATAATTGACATGAGTAATCATTATGATCGCTTGTTTGAACAATGACCATTAACACTCTGCTGCCTCTGCCTCTGCCTTTTTTGGCGCTCCGAAGAACTGCAGGAAGCTTTTGCATAACGCATCCTCACTGAAGAGTTGGCGAGTTACTTTTTAGTTGTTCAACAAGTTTTACAAACTAAAAAATATTGATTAACCAGGAAGATAGCTTCCAAAAATCAAAAATTGGGTTGAAAAAAATTTAGAATGCGATGAGCAAATTTTTTTCCATTTTATACAAATATAAAATATTTTATTTTTGTATTCCAGCAATATTTCATGTATTTATGTCAATTACTTTGATCTGAAAACCCGAGCTGAAGCAGCTGGCTAAACGCACTTTTTTCTAGACACGTGCCCCAAACTACTTGGCAATCGATTGAGTATTCGATTGACTGATTGACTGACTGACTGCACGCCTGAGAGACTGACTCATCGAGCTGTCAGACGTGAAAAGCTTCTGCAGCCATCGAGTCATCTGAACATCTGCGACATCTTAAATCTACAATTCCGATTGCACTCAACGCAAAATACAAAAGACAAAACGACAAAACAGAAAAGCGAAAACAAACGATGGCAAATGGCGGCCGACGAACAACAAAAGAATGTGTTGCAATTGAAAATAATTGTTTATGCTTGGCATTAAAATCATTACAAAACGACAAATACAACGCAGTCGCGTCGGTTGAAATTTTTCAAGTTTCCAGCATTAACATTGACAGTTTTGTCGGAGAGAGGAAGCCGTGCAAAACCCAAATGCGAGCGGCAAACAATGAACGGTAGCTGCAAGCACTTGGAGAAATCAGAAATCCTTAAAAGGTAGCTCACAAATATTTGCCCGTTGAAAACCCATAATAATTAAGGGGGGGTAAGGTTTTAAAAAATTTTTTTTTTTCATTTTTTTTTATTATTTTTTTTCTGAATGACCAATATGTCAAGAACATTGTGTAAAAATTTTAAGTCAATTAAAGTCAAACTAACGGAGTTACAGCGCTTTAAACAACCGTATTTGGACGTATTTTCACGTATAAAAATACTTTGAATCGATTTTGCCGAAGACGTGAACATCAGAACTCAAAATCTACCGAACCGATCCTTTTCAAATTTTTAACACAAATTCTCAATATAAATACGCAGGTAATCAGGAAGAGTTTTTTTTAATTTTTAATTTTTTTCTATTTTTAAAAAATAAATTAACAGCGATTTTTTAAGCTAAAATCGCACTTTTCACTTTCAAGTGCTCCCAAAAATAGACAAAAAATAAATTAAAAAAAAACTCTTCCTGATTACCTCGGGAAATTCATTATCTTTACAACGCATATCACATGTTATTTTTAAGATGATCCGTTAACGCTCTATGATGTTCACCGCAAAACAACTTTTTCTTTAGGCGCTTCGGAAGATCAACCGCCACAGGCTTATTTCTTAATATTTTTTAATATTTTTTTTTTCTAATACTCTTCAAAAGTTAAACAATAACATGTAATTAAGTTCAATGAATTAAACTTACTCATTTCGCCGCAAAAAAAAATTAAACATGGCCCTCTTTTTGGCCTTTAAAACCTTACCCCCCCTTAAAGATTATTATTTCTTCTTGAAGATAAGAAACCCTCTTAAAATAGGAAATTCATAGGAGGCTCAAGGCCTGTTTTTAAAGTATTCAAAAACTATTTGTACAAGTGCATTTATGCAATGGATGCACAGGTTACATCCGCCAAAACATTACTTTGTTTGAGGGACACACAACAATCGCTTCCTCGGCACAAAACGGCAGTCTCCTCTAGGTTTTTCTGCCACTTCGGGGGCACTAAAAGGCTGAAAAACAGAGGATCTTGATGAGCTCGCTGCTTGGCAGGTGACTGCTCACAATTTATTTGCATTGGTTGGCAACTGTGAAAGGCTAAACGGCTGAAAAGCCTGACTTCAAAGTGGTTGGGCAAACAGAAGCCGCCGATTAAAGAAAAGCTTCAAGTCGCTGATGGATTCGTAGAAGTCTGCGACTGTTTATGTTGGCCAACCGAAAAAGGGCTTGAAAAGAACTCGAACTCGAAGAGCGGCAGTGGTCATGCATGACTCACCAGTGCTGGCAAGGAAACTCGTTTCAGGTAACGAAGTTACAAAACACGTTACCTAGGTAGTGAAAATTCACTTGACTTCGCTGCTGGTTCTGCAGACACCTTAATAGATTGGCCAGATCTACTGACATATATCCACCCACACAATATCCACCGATTCTGTCACTCAGCCGTTGCATTCTGTCAACTTAATGAGCGCTTAAATGCCAAATTAAAAATGGACTCCCTTCTTTTGGCTATGAAACTCGTGACTCTAGTGGGCGAATCGATTTCATTTTGGAATCTCTGGCGTTGTTCTTTCGTGTGAAGTGGCCATAGTTTGGTGTAACGGCCATAATTTTGTTTTCATTAACAATAAATTTCAATTAAGCTCACGGTTTGGATATTAATAAAGTTTTCAGCGGCACGAAATGCAAATAGCCCAAAAAAGCAGCGCCGAAAATAAGGCCACAAACGGATTCCAAGTGTGTAAACCTTTTTTACTATTTTTTTTGTAATTTTTTTTTGAGTTGATTTTTTGTGATTTTGCGCTTGTCGCCAGATTTGTAAACCCCGAATCCGGGGCTTGTACAAATTTTCATGGTCCGCGCTCACTGGCAACACAGCTTAGGACAACAAAGTTAATATAGTGTAGGTGTTCAACTGGCTCGTTGACTCTCTGGATCGGTTCTGTTTCTTGTCTTTGCTTTTTGTTTGGGGGTCTCGAGAATTTTCGGAGTTTCGGTTTCTTATTTCAGTCACTGTTTTTTGGCAGGGCGCGTTGACAAATGGCCTCAAACAGCTGTAAGAGGAGTGCCAGTCTGCCGCTGTAAGCCATGTGACATTTGTTTGCCCTGCCACTTGTTTCAAAAGATAAAAAACAAAGTTCACTCAGAGAAAAGAAAACATTTTGCATTAAATTCTACTGTTATTTTATAAAGAATAATAAACTGCTGCAAATAATAACAAAAAATTGTTGCTTATCAGACTTCACGATCACATAATTTTTAAAAATTTCAGGAATTATTGATTGTGTTATAATACTTCGACCAGTGAAGTTCATCCGCTCGCCATTTATCATTTGCACACCTTTCCCACAGCCATAATTGCCGTTTATTATGCATATTAATTAATTAAGGCATTTGCAAGTCGAATCCGATTGATTTGAATCGCTGGCCAAACCCATTTATTAGCAAATTGCTTAAATGCCGCACATCAAATCAAACAGCCGCAGTGTGGGCTTCGCGCCGAAGATGGCAATTTGCAGACGATTTACTGGCGAATGTGACGCCGTATTATGCAGGTAATTTCTGTATTTGGTAATTAAGTCACGGCTGTCACTGTTTTATTAATTTAGCGATCAAATAAATTCTTTATTTGCATAGTCTTAAATAGGCAGATATGTATGGATTTTCCCACGATCTACAAGGGGCGGCAATTGGCTCTTAATTAAATTTCTGTCAAGTTGGAGGCGAGGCAGGGAGTTTTTGTAATTAGTTTTTTCAGTTAATTAAAAATACTTAGACCGGGTGTAAGTCCATTACGCATTGCAAACGGACCTCTCTCATCGACTCTGGCATTCCATATATCGTATCTATTTTGTGCATGTAAGTGGTGGGCAAAAGTGACTGAGGGAGCTGGGTGAGGCCGTAAATTAAGAGCCAGCCTCCAAATGTCAAAACATATGCCAAAGTCGGGAATAGATAAACAGACGCAATGCAAAACCAGCAGCAAAATCAGTAAAATCGGCCCACAGCAACGAGAACCGCTAGCGGACAATGACCATGACTGCAGCGGTCGTAGAAAGATATATGCGAGTATATATGGTATAAAAAAAAGTCGGTGCGACCAGCAGCAAAGCGTTACCGTTAGCCATGACGAACGGAGCACAGTGGGCCGAAAAGTGCGGTCATAAAAGATTTAATGAGAGTAAAATCAGTATATTTTTTAGGTGGAAAAGCAGAACAATGCATGGCAATGTAATTAAAGCTAATATAAGACATAACCAATAAAATAAATAGGTAATTATTTACATAAAAAGTGACCTTCTATGTAAATAATTAAACAATAAAGTTAAGTAAAAAAATACGTTGGAAAAAAAAGATAATAAAGCATAGTACGTTAGGATATAATATTAAAACTTACGTTTTCTATGAAATATAGTATTATATATTTTCTTATATATATTTAAATTTACATTCTTGTACCACCGTGCTGAGTGTGAGTGGTGCACAGCGGTGGTGCTAGGTGCCTTAGACGGACAGTCACCTCGGGTGTATAATTAAATCGTTTGCTGGCCAAGCCGACCAGTTTCACTTAGTCAAGTTTATTCGTTGTCCGGACGCTAAATTAACTTATATTTAAGAGCCCAATTAGGCGACAGAGTTTTTCCAAAGTTTTTCCGAGCCAGCCCCCCAATTTGTGGAATACATTTTGATAAGCAATTCATTCTGAGTTACCCAGACCTCAGTTTGAGGCAAAATGTCAAAGCTAATTGAGGTGTTTCTGGAGAATCTGTGGACGCAGCGCTTCACCTTCTCCCGGATGGGTTTGGATTTACAGCCCGAAAAGGGCAAAGTTCTACGCTCACCGTTGCTTTATGGCATTATGTTTGTGGCCACGGGATTTGAACTCTGCACCGTGTGCGCTTTTATGGTCCAACATCGCAACCAAATCGTGCTCTGTTCCGAGGCCTTGATGCACGGCCTGCAAATGATCTCCTCGCTGCTGAAGATGGCCATATTCTTGGCCAAGTCCCACGACCTGGTGGCCCTCATTCAGCTGGTCCAAGCTCCCTTCACAGATGCGGACTTCTTTGTGGCCAAGTGGAGGCGCCAGAATCGCAGGGGTCAGCTGCTGGCTGCCGTTTATTTTATGATGTGTGCCGGCACGAGTGTCTCGTTTTGGCTGATGCCAGTGGCTTTGACCATGCTCAAGTATTACTCCACTGGGATTTTCGCACCAGTTAGCTCATTTCGTGTGATGTAAGACGTTTAATGGTTTGACACTTGCATTTTTCTCACCTAATTTATCCTTCTTGGCAAAGTCTTCCGTACGACGTATCCCAACCGCACATTTATGCCATGGACTGCTGCCTAATGGTGTTTGTGTTGGGCTTTTTCTGCTGCTCCACCACCGGAGTGGATACCCTATATGGATGGTGTGCTCTGGGCCTGAGTTCCCAGTACCGTCGCCTTGGTCGGCAATTGAAATGGCTTCAGGAGCACTCCGATGTGTCACGTTCTGATTTGGGCCTAAGTGGGCTCTTTGCCGAGCATGCTCGTCTTCTAAAGTTGGTTCAACACTTTAATGCTAGCTTTATGGAGATCGCCTTTGTCGAGGTCTTGGTGATCTGTGTTCTCTACTGCTCCGTAATCTGCCAGTACATAATGCCGCATACCGATCAGAATTTCGCGTTTCTCGGTTTCTTTTCCATGGTGGTCACCACCCAGCTGTGCATTTATCTTTTCGGAGCGGAGCAAGTGCGCTTGGAGGCAGACGACTTTTCCAGGCAGCTCTACGAGGTGATTCCATGGCAATTGCTATCTCCACAACACCGACGCCTGTTGCTCTTCCCCCTTCAACAAGCTCAACGGGAGACAGTCTTGGATACATATTTCTTCAAGCTCGGAAGACCTCTACTCGTTTGGGTAAGTATGGTATTTTCAAGCTATCATACAAGGCATATTGTATACAATTATGATTTCTTTACTATTTCTTTTAGATATTTCGCACAGCTGGCTCTTTTACAACTCTACTGAATGCCCTCTACGCAAAATACGAGACACAGTAATGGCAATATACTCACTTTTATGAATAAACTACTTTTTTTAAAAAGGTTAATAAAGGTAGACATTAGAGGAAAACCACTTATTTTGTTTTTGTTTTTTATTTAGGTTTAAAATTACATTTAACATTTCTCATTTTATGTACACACATATAATAAAATTATGCTCAATTAGACAAAAAATAATTACATTAGATACGTGCATAAGACATAAAGACACATATATATTTATATATATATATTTATTACTAAGGGCTAAGTTTAAGAATTATCAAACAATGCGAGACAAAAAGCAGACAGACCATAAAAAAAAACACTGAAATAAAATATGTAGTATGGTATAGATTTTTCAATACAGGAGTTTGTGGACATGAACATTAGGATATAGGGATTGGGTTGCACTTTTTTGTGGCGGCTTGCATTCATCTCGTAAGAAAATAAATAAATCTAACAGAGGGAAACGAAAGTGGTGATGGGTGTTTGTTTTTTAGGTTTAATTCTTTTTTTTATCTTTTAACTGAGGGCCAATAGGGGCTCAACTTCCAGAGGATCCTGCAATTTGGGTCCCGTTTTCTTGCGGTATTTCTTCTGCAGCTTTGTCTTTGACAATTTCGACTTGTTTTTGGAGGAGTTTTTGGACTGGGACTTGGTCTTCTCCAACTCCTTTTCCCTATCCAGCAGCTCCAACTGCTCGAATATGTTTTTGGGATGCGGATGTGAGTGTGGAGCGGTGGCATTTTTGGCCGCATACACCACCACGAATTGTGAGAATGCCGAGTCGGCCGGTGTGTTGATGTCTGCAAAGTCCCTGAAATTGGCGAACTGCTCTTCTGGGTAGGTGTACTTCTGCACAAATCCCTCGGAAGGTCGACCGTGCCCATTGTTGGCATCGCCATAGATGTAATCACTGTTGTCCTCGGGATGGTAGGGCATTTCCTCCTCCGGATAAAAGGTTCCGCCTCGCAGAACGCCGAAATCTCCACTACCCAAAATGCTGGCATCGAAGTTTCGCTGCTGAGTCGCCGGCTGCTGTTGTTGGGGGGGCCAAAAGTGGCAGCGGCAGGGACAGGGGAGTACTTTCAGATACCGGAGGTCCGTGTCCGAAGTAGGGTCTCGAGTGGCCCAGTGGCGGAGCCTCGTGGTAAAACGGCGGATAGAAGTTCTGGGCCGCCTGCGTATGCGAATCCCCCACCAGTTTGGCACTCGGATTGGCAATGGGTCGGAATTGCTCCTCCTCCTCCGGATTCTGTTGGGCTGCCGCCTGGAATTGCCTGGGTTGAGCTCTGGGTTGGATCCTGGCCTGGATCTGTGGCTGCAGTTGCGTGGTGGGCGGCATATGGAAGTGCTGTTCGTGCGATCTCAGCACTGTGATTGGCGAAAAGTCATTTGGCTCCATCAGCATGTCGCTGTCCTCTTCGGGGAACTCAGCTGAAAAATACCAAAAACGAAGAGGAGAAATCAGAAATCAGAAATCAGACAAAGAAATCCACTCAATAGTTGTAAGAGCTTCGGTGTCTCGAGTTTTCTGAGGAGCCCTTGTGCGATGTTCAGACTTGAGTTGAGTGGTGAAATGTGTTGCCGAACATGCGTCTTGAGTTTTTTAAGATCACTCGATGTAGCAGGAAATGCTGCAGAAGATGGCGTTTCCTCTTGCAAAATGTGGCACAGGAAACCCGTTAAGCAAATGTGTGCCTGGCTTTCATTTAACATTTTCATTTTTATTTCATTTTTGGTTCAATAAAGTGCATATTTATAAATTTTAAATTGTCAATCAATTAGGCAATGAATTTAGATGTTAATTTCTGTTAATGATGATGGCGACAAACCTTTAATGATCGCTGATAGTTTTTTTTTTTAATTGTACGCAATAGACAAAATACCAGTTTCTTTTTTTTTAGGAGGAAAGAAGAAACATTAGTTTTTTTGAAAGCCGAAACTGTGCTCAACTCATAATTTTATATTATTATTTATTTAATTAAACCTAAGGTTAAAAGGTTTAAAACGCAATAACTACTTTTGCAATGGCCCAAATTCTAGCTCCTTCAATCTCTGCTCATTTCAGGTATTTTGTTTCGTGGCCACAGGTCTTTTGAGTCATATTGCGGTAACGTCTTAGGCCAATAACACTTTTTTTTTTTTTGTTTTTTTGCCTGGGTTTCTTTTCGCGAGATCTTTTTGTAGTGTTTTTTTTTTTTTGTGTTTGGGGTCTGGCTGGGCAGTCAAATGTCGTATCGATAAAAGTCGATAATAATGTGTGCCGGGCAGCTGGCATAAATTTTGTGTGCTTTGGCTTGTGTTCTAGGCATAAATGTTTCGGCCCCCGCGGCTCCCAATCTCCTCCATATAAAACCATCTATTTAAGACCCCACCCTCGACAGCCAGAAGCCTTTCCATACTTGTACGCGATTTTCGTTTCCACACAATTGTTGCTGATGCTTGTTTTTTTTTCCTCAAATTTTTTTTTAAAATTTGTCTGAGTTTTCACCTCATGCTATTTTTTTTTTTTTATTCGGCCCAACACCCGCTGGTAGTTGTTTTTCATTTTTCGTTTTTCGACTGGCAAATGCAGAACATAATGAGTTTGTTAACTGTAATTGGGTTTCGTTGACTCTTGGCTCAAAGCAAAAGTCTGGTCGATTTCTGGATTTTGATAGTGACTTGCTGCCAGAAATGGGTCAAACACACGCCGATATGTCGTGTGGTAAGTGTAGATTACTTCATTATTTATTTGAGGGGGGATATTCGGCGGCACGACTCGGCTAATTTACGAAATTGCCCCGATTTGCTGCTGGATAATCGATCACGTAAACAGGACACCCACTGCAAGTTGAGAAAAAGCCACACGGAAAGAAAGAAGAACTGAATAAAAAATAAATAAAATAACTTCGAAATGATGCGCCATGGCAATCGTCATCTAGAAATACTTGACACAACAAACACAAATCTACAAAAATTATTAAAACCAAAAATATTATACTCATTGGGACAGTATTTTTTTTCTGTGCATCCAAAAGCCAGCATCAATGTTTAATGCCGAATGGTACAAAATTGTCCATCTGTGGTTCATAAGTCATGCAGAAAGTAAACCGAATATCTATCTTTCTTTCTACCGTTCAATACTTCATCCTTTTTATTATAAGATTAAAGTTAAATGGTTCGTAGCTTGATTATTCAATAATTCGAAAACATGATTAGGAGTTTACAAAAATCAGATTAACTTATACTTGCATGCCAATAAAAAATTAATGCACATATGTGCATAGGTGATTTAAAATTAGAGCAAGTTTAATGAATCAACTTTTTGACATAAGCAAGTATGTAAAGATGTTTGAATCTTAATTACCTAGTTAAATTGAAGGTGACAGTATCCAAGCATTTTAATGTATTTAGGCAATAATCAAATATTTTGAAATTAAATGGATTGCAAAAGTAGACTTCTTTATCGCACTTTAAAGCAGCCCGCGAGTTGCAAAGTAATACCTGTGGCAATTGTTTTCTTCACTTCCAAATTAATGTTGCCACGCTGACTATTTTCTTTGTCTGTTTGCAAATTATGAAAGTGCCAAAAAGACAAAGCGCGATAAAATCAGCCAAAGGAAAAGTGGAGTAAATATGGAGGCTACATGTATATGGGGAGCACTCGTTATATGATGACCCTGATAACGATAACAATGATGATGTAGCCGTTAAGGCAGATGTCCATGTCGACGGTACAATGGGGCGTATGCGTTAAATTGAGCGCGTCGTGCCCACAACAGAAATCCCTGGGCGTGTGTTCAAGTGTACCTCTCCTTTTATATGTATATATATACGATATATACGTATAATCTGTGTGCGATCACCATGACATGAGCTTGCCTCTTTAGTCACTTACAACAAAATTCCGCATAGCGATCGTCATCGTCATCGTCATTGCGCGTTTTTCTCCACGGCTCTTCTTTAACTTTTTTCTTTAGGTTTCAGGCCCCTCCGATTGTGTCTGATTATGGGTACGATTGTATCTGATTGCGACGTGGGCGTCAGCCGTATAATTAACACATTGTTGCTGTGCCTGTGTGTATGTATGTGTGTGTGTGTGTTGCAATGAGTAATGGAGCAATGGGAAGCGTGTCTAAGTGGGCGTTAAATGGCCGCCTCAATGCGTCCATCATTATTATTATCATCATCGCCATCATCATATATTTTGGGTAGGCCCACTTATCGCGCCCCACCAAAAATAAAAGAAGGAAAAATAGCTGCCTCACGATAAACGATCGCTGTGAGTGCAGCGAAAAAATGCCAAGTGGCGATCCCAAGAGGCGACTCTTTAGTCAAGGCGACAAAAAGCGGGCAGTTGAAAAACACGAATAGAAAATATTTTTACAGCGCTGGATGGAGCGGAGGAATAAATGAAATATGTGCATAAATATAAGCAACGTGGAAGCCTGGAAAAATATCATTTGACAACAGATTAATATGGTACAATGAAGACAAAACCAAACGATTTATTAACTCGATGCGTATAAAATATTTTGCAGGCCACAGGTATTTTAAAAAGTTCACCCCACATTTTTCCAAGCCCCTCGATCACTCATGGCAATCCACTTGTGATATTAATGTTATTTCTTATCCATTTTCCCCGCTTTCGAGGCTCTGGGGCACTCCCCAACTGGCAGTTTTCCATGGCAGTCGCCACTTATCCTCCGGGTTTCCCCAGTCCCCATCTCCTGTGGCAACTCATCAGCGGCTGCAAATAATTTCCGGCATTTTGTTGGCACTTACAGCGGCGCATGCGTGTAAGCACAGATCAGGTCGTGGGTTGTGTTTCACGTCCACCTCACCTCTTCAGCTTTTCTTCAGCACCTCATAAATTTCCAAGTCAAAAACAGCGAGCGCCATTCGCCACTTTCACTACAGGTTGCATGGAGCTGCTTTCGGAGATGGATTATAATAGTGGTTTGGCTCGGTAGACATAAATCAAATCTGTGCTTTGAAATTGACCCTTGAGTATCAATGTCACATTACAATAAATCCTTTAGCTAGACTAGTTTTGATTGTTAAGGGAGGGGAAATGATATATATATATATATATATATAATATATAATACTCAATCCTTTTCTAAAGTTAAGCCACTTAAGCTTATTATATACTATTTTATACATTATATAAAAGTCCATTTCGTTGAGCAACCTTTGATATTTTGCCTGCAACCCGCAGGTTGAGGGTGTTGAATTTTCACAATGACAGAGTTGTCGTGTGTTTTAATTTATGAGGTCGCTTTAGCAGCTTGCATACATAATAAAGTATTCGCAATTAGCTGCTTTTTATGTTACATTTTAATGACAGTTTTGTATCTCTATTTCTATTTCTAGTTGCAGTTGTATTTCTGTTTTTTTTTTTTTTTTAATCCCCACCTTCTTGTCATGTTTTCCGCATTGTGGCGAGGCCACCTTGAGGCTGCAGGCCGGCCACTTCATTTATCTTAATTTGCAATTCGATTGCACTTGACTTGGCCGAAAAGAATCTGGCCAGCTTCGGCATTATGGCCAGGCTATGCTATAATGATGATGACTCAACTGCAAGTTGTTTTTCGTTTTCGTAGCACTCAAGCATTGCCGGCCGGCGATGCAGGCGGTCAATGTCAGTTGCTGTTGGGATGCGGACTGGCGATCGGCGATTGGCGATCGGCGATTGAGGGAGGGGAAAATCGTAGAACTTGGCTATGAAAAATCCACTCGGACGAGTCGTAGAGAATCACATTTCAAGACTAACCACTTGGCCAGCACATGCTGCTCATTAATTGTCAATACACAGGTAAAAAAAAAAGCCAAGCCATAGCCTTAGATACCTGATTTTGTTCTATTTTATTTTTGTTTTATTTTTTTTGGTTCTTCTGTAATCAAATAGATACCCCGTTAATAATTTTGAGTATCATATGGTACATAAGATTTTTACCTATTTTTTCCTATGTATCAATTGCTTGCAAAGACGCCATAAACTATCAAGCGGAGATCGGGGGTCTGAATGCTCCGAGGTGGAGTGGGTGCGCGATCATTATGTTAGAATAATGCCATGGTCTGGGACAGCTGGGCAGAGCTTCGTCGCAGCGCAGCGACACCTAGAGCCAAACAACAACCAAATTAACGAAAAGTGCACAAGGCAACAACCCAGGGAGACAGCGCTAGACAACGCCAAACCAAACAAACAGACAAACAGACAAACGAACAAGTAAACTTGACTGCCATTTACGACGCTTGTTGTTGGGGCATAATTAAATTTGCATTTTTCTCATCGCCTTTTGCTGGCTGAGAAAATTCGTCGGTCGAGGTTGCCACAAACGTTTTATTTATTTTTTTTTTTTTGCTATGGAGGGGCACACCTTAAAGTGCGATAGGTATAAGTACGGAGGGTCATCATTCATCGAAGATCTACCATTGCCGGAGTTTTG